AATAAATAGGGACTAGTAGTTAGCGTAATGGCTATGTCACTGGACTCCCGTGTAGTCGACCGCGGTTTGAATCCTGGACCCGGTGGCTTAAAACTCACCTCGGGCACGTGTGTGTGTGTGCCCAAGATCCCAAGAGGAGAATGGAGCAGAGAGGATTGCGGCATGGCCATCCCCCTGGGGGGTGATTTCTCACTTTCTGTCTCTGTCTCTCTCTCTGTCTGACTGGCAAGCACATGTGCCCTATAGCAAAAAACCTCTCCAAAAAAATAATAATAAATAAATAGATAAATAAATAAATACATACATGAAGTTCTTTTTTTAAAAAAGAAACCATGACTTTCTACCTTTGGTATTCAGCAGGGCTTTTATCCAATGTGTAGTTCTGGTCACTACAAGTATTTTTTAAAAATGTAATAAAGCCATGAAAGTGTCTAAAGAGAAACAAATGAGATAAAAGGATGAAGGATATATTCTTTTATTTACATTTCAACTTTAACAAGGCTTACAATGATGCAGATAATGGAGTAACATAAAAAAGATTAAAACTTAGAAAAACGAGAATAAGAAAAATAAAGGGAAAAAAGGAAGATAGAACCTAGAACATGACCAGCATAACAAGACACACAAGCACTTGCTGGAGACGGGCCACGAATTGGGAGCAAAGTGGTCCAGCATCAGTACAAAGAAAAACACACTTTAATATTCAATGTCCTGCAGGTAAACTCAAATAGCAATTCAGGAAAAGCACAACTGAGTCCAGAGAACATTTCTCCCATGCATCCTTAAATAAAGCATTATAAACTGTTATGATAAACATCCTTTTACAGTATCCAAAGCAATTAAATTTCACAGACATTTTCCTATGGGTTACCTAAGTACAGTACAGATAAAGCAAATTCTACAGAACCCAATAAAATGCCAGTGATGAGGGTTAGCAGGTGGTGTGGTGGTTAGGGCACTGGATCCCATATGACCAACTATGTAGTTTAGTTCTGGACCCAGTGGCTTTAAGAATATACCAGGCATGTGTGTGTGCATGCCCAAAATGCTGAGAGGAGAATGGAGCAGAAACAATTGTAATGTGACCATCCCCACTCAGGCTGATTTCTTACTTTCCTCTTTCTCTGTCTAGCACATGTGCTCTACAGCAAACAAACAAACAAACAAACAAAAAAGAAAAAGAAAAACCAGCTATCTACAGATAAAATCTGACTTAATCCAGAGACAGAATTAATAAATAAAAGTATATAAAAGTATGCAGAGTACTCACTAGACTCTCTTTGGTCTAGAAAGAAAGAGAAGATATAATTGAAAAATAATATGGTCTAGATTAAAACATATTTTTCTCTGAAGTCTCAGAGCAAAAATGAAGCTTTTGAGAAGGCAGTTTAAGAAAAATTAAAAAAAAAAAAAAAAAGCCATGAAGGCCAGAAGTGTATACAAATTCAAAGTTCAGATGATTTTCCTTGCTAAAGATAGGAAACACTCAAAATACATCTCTAACAAATCTAAGGTTGATGTCATGCCTCATAATTCCCTGGTTTGCCCATCAGAAACTGAATCCTAAGCTGTTGAGGGGAAATGATCAGTTCAGAAATCCTGTCTTCCAAAGAGGATTTATTTTGGGAAAGATGTGGATAGCGGTTCTAATTACCCAGGGAAGACATAAAACCCACCCATGTTTCAGTTTCTATTTTCTTCCTCACATTAGTCTATTATTAGATTATTATACTCTGTTGTATATATTAGATTCAGTTTTTGATTTTTAAAAATTAGATTTATTGCAGACTGGTTTCAAGTCCCCAGTTCATATTTTTTAGCTGCATATTTAGGAGTTGAAATGCCAGCTTTTGAGACCTTTGAAAAATATTCATATTACTTCTGATTAGCCTATTAAACACATTGCACTGTGGGAACTCATGAAGCATCATTATTACCCAAGAAAGGAAACATGGCAGAGAATCAAGGAAAAGAAAAAGTGGAAGGAACCTCTGCCTGATAGCTTGAGGGTAAGAGCACTAGAGAAATTGAACAAAGGAAATGTCACCACCTAGATCTGAGATGCTAATTGAGATGCGGCACATGTGATAGGGAAGGGGAGGGCCAATTGTGGCTACCAGTAACAGAATGCCCAAGATCTGAACTCTGGTCTAATGCCTTGAAGAACAAAATGCTTAAGGGCTACGAAGTGAAAACAAACTGGATCAAGGAGGTGGCCATACTGAGGCAATGGAGGAGATCCTCAGGTTCCCAACTGGGAGCCAATTTACAGTAGAGAGCTCAAGCAGGAAT